ACCCTTTGTTTGTGATACATGGTCCGCACGCGGAGCATCTATTAAAACGGCACTGTAAGTCCGAGGCGTGCAGGAGGCGAGAGATCGAAAGGGCCAGGGAGGGTGGCTCCCCCCAGGCGGGGGCTCACAACCTCCGAGAGACGCCTCCCAGGACCCCCCCGACCGCCCTTGCATTGTGGAGAGCGCTGCTTATCGGGTCGGGCGAAAGGGGGGGATCGCAAAGGGGGGGTTTGAGAATCAGCTCACGTAGCTGCTTTTCCCGGCGCCTCCCGGCGCCGGAGGCGGCTATGTATCGAGGAATGGGCCCCTCGGTGAGGCCGAAACTAGCTGCATGCAGCAAATTTCGTAACCCCCCCTTTCCCAATCCTCCCCTTTCGTCCGGCCCGAGCTTATTCCCAGGCGATAGCGGGCATCACCGGGGCAGGGAGGGGGAGGGGGCCAGAATCGTCACGCTCCGCGCCGGTGCCGTCTGAAGTGTCTAGGAACAGTGAAAAAAAGACAACCCGCACGTCAGCACGAATCATGACGTTACCTATGGGGCAAGGAGGGAAGGGGCCGGTAACGGCCGCTATAACGAACACATAAGAGAAGGATATGTTGTGAAGTGGCGACGGCTTCGCAGATCGCAGCCCCCCCAGGGATGGCCAGGTAGGAGGCAAACTGGCACGCAGGAAGCAGCAAGGTGACAGGCAGGACAGACGGGGAGAGGGGTGCGGGAGGAAGGTGTGCGACCGCAGTGCTCTACTCAAAACGAGAACCCAACGCAGGAGGGTTGGGAGAAAGGACCTTTTATGACTTCGCAGGGATCGGCGGTGGACACACCCCCCTTTAGCAAACCACCCTTCAATGAGAACGGCCTGGGACCGAAACCCACGGACCTGGACCCGCAAAAAGGACGGCCGAAACGCCCCCTTCTAAAACAGGGCTAGGATCAGGATAAATCGCTCCAGAGCGTTCCGGAGCGCTCTCAGAGCGTTCCGGAACGCTCTGGAGCGGCCGCGGCGCCCAATACATCCTCCAAACCCGCCGATTCTCAGAGATTTCGAGCTATCCCGATCCGATTTTGTCCCGATCTTCGCGTCGTTTTACTTTCGCGAGCCGAAGACGGCCAATTCGCTGATCGTCGACGTGTCAGGGCAGGAGGTCTGTCCACCCCCGAAGGGATCATTCGGGAGCGGCCAAGAGGGGGGTGTCCAAGAGGGGGAGGTGCAAATCATGACCGGCGGCACGTGCGCGGCCCAGCGGGGGGGCCAGGGACGCAATGACGTAAGAAGAGGCGCCATGAAATCTGGGGAAATATCATGGCCCCCGCCATGATATCCACCCCCCCCTAGTCATGAACAGGGGATGCGTCGACCCCTATCCCAGGCTCCGTGAGGTTTTCGAGAGGATCAACAATTTGGGGCCCAACCCTGGGATATACGAGGGGGGGGCGTCCATCCTCGACAGTGCGTCCGAATAGCCCCCTCGGGATGTATCCCAAGATTCCTCCCCTTTTCTGAGCGACCAAACTTTTCTGGCGGAAGTCGGGGATTGGGGGAGAGAAATCGCCTGCGAGTCATCACCCCCCTCTTTTCCGCCCCCGAATCATGGGGGGTGCCCCGGCCCGCGCGGCGCACCTCGCGGGCGGCGCGCGCCTGCCTGGCGCCCGCCACCCTGCGCCCGAGGAGTGCCGAGGGCGGCCCGGTGCTCGCGCGGCGACGGCGGCGTATACTCGTGCGGAGTGTCGGCTACACGTAAGAGTGACCCAGGGTAAGAGTGACCTTTGGTGCGCAGCTTTTCGGGGACCGCGGGGAGGCCAAATCCAGGCGCGCTAGCCGCTGCTATCGCTTCGAGGTCGGCCATCTGGGGGCCCATCCGTGCCCGCACCAAAGGTCACTCCGGCGAAAGGTCACTCTTACTTCTAGTCGATGGAGGGAGGGCGGGCGGGAGTGGGAGACGGGGCCGGCCTTCGGGGGAGGAGGGCGGCACGCAGCCTGGACCCCTCGCCCTACAGGGCAGGTCTTAAGGCATAGGATGTCAAACAACATAGGATGTTGAATTCCCTACCCAGGCTCTGCCTAGAAGGGTTCTTACTCTCTTTGCTTAAAGGGGCTGGGCAGTGTTCCCCGCCCCGGGCGGTTCCCCCAGGATCCGCCCCGCGGTTCCCCCAGTCCCCTGGGAGCTCTAGCTTTAGCTTAGCTTTAGCTTAGCTTTACAGTTAATACTAATGCTGCTTTCCTAGGGGCTCCAACTCCTAGGTAGGGTCGCACTGGGATAATACATCATGATTAATGTATGAATGAATGTATGCATGAACTCATCGTTGCTTTTAATACTAGATCCCTGCATGTTTTAAGAAATGATCCGCACACGGAGCATGCATAAAAAACGGCACTGTACCCCCTCCCAGAGCTCGGGACGGGCCCGGACGGAGCGCTCAAGGTGGCTCCAGGAGGGCCCCCAACGCCTCCAGATGGCCCCCCAGAATGGCTCACGATGCCGAGGATGGTTCAAGATGGCTTCCGACAGGCCTCCACGAGGCCCCACGAGGACCACGAGACGGCTCCAAATGCTCTCGGAGCCCCCTCAAGACTTCCCCAAGAGGACCAGATCCGTCAAACACCGATGGACATCCACGATGTTTGCCGTCTCGCCTTTTCGTTTCCACGGCTTTAAGGCCTCAGTATGGCTCCAACACTGCCCAAGGGAGCCCCAAGAGGGGCCCAAGAGGCTCCCAAGACGTCCCCAAGAGCGCTCAAAGAGGTGTGTCCGATGGCCCCAGAGGGGGGACAGAAATCGGGGGGGGGGGGGGGCCCTTCTCTTTCGATCGACGCCCTCGAAGATGTCCCCACAAAGTCCTCCAGGGAAGCCAAAAATGAAAGATCCCCAAGAGGGCCTTCAGAGGGCCCCTGGAGGGCCCGACATAGCCCCAGGAGGACGCCAAGAACCTTCCGAACAGCCCTAAGAGGGCGGCCCCAAGGGGGTCGCGAGAGAGCCCCAAGAGGATTGTAAGAGGGCCTCCAGAAGACCCCAATGGCTGCCAGAGTCTTCGTCCTCGTCCTCGTCCTCCTCCTCCTCGCCCGCCTCCCCTTTTTCCTCCTCCTCCTCCTCGTCCAGCTTTTCGTTCTCGTCTTCCTCAACCTCCAACTCCTCGTCCTCCTCCTTGCCGTCTTCCTCGTTCTCATTCTCGTCCTGGGTCTGATAAGGCTGACTCCAAACTTGTTCCACTGCATGCTCTTGTACTGTTCAGGTCAAGGCAACTCGTCTGGGCATCGCTTCTAGATGGGCTGGTGGGGGTGCACGAAGCGTCCAGAACAGACTCTTCGCGTTGGCAATGCATGCGTGGGTCGGACGGCTTATCCTCCGGGTGGGCTAGATGGGGGCGAGGGACCAAGAAACATGCGGGGGGAGGGCCGGGCGCAGGCAGAACTGCGGGCAGCCAAGACGCAGAAATCCTACCAGACTCTCTGGTGCGGCTTCCCTTCTCTTCCAAGAACCATCCTCCCTTCGGGGAGGGGTACAGCCAACCCGTATAGTAAGGATGCGCGATAAGGATGCAAGGGCCTTGAACGCCCATTCCGAAGCTTCTCGAGCGGGGCGCGGCCAACGAAAGTGGCCAAGGATATCCCGAGGAGGCAAGTTTTGCGAGGGTACCCTTGGGAAAATTGCCCATCCTTACTATGTGGGTTGACTGTAATTAGATGGAGTCGGTGGATTGCACCGAATCGCCGATGTATCGGCGACGTCGTCGATGCATCCGGAGAACATCGGTCTCCAATGCGAGCCGCAGCGCCAATGTATGGGCGATGCGGCGCGATCAAGCGACCGCATCTATTCCGACTCCACCTGGGAAACCTGGAAAGATGCGGAGGCGGGCAGGCGGACGAGTAGGGGAACGAACGAAGATTGACGAGTAGGGGAAAGAACGAACGAAGATTGACGAGGGGAACGAACGAAGATTGACGTAAACATGAAAACTCGGAGGTCGGTGCGGATTTCTCAGATCGGCGCTGCGCGCCGGCGGGGGCGCCGAGAGCGCCGCCAAGGGGTCCGGCGCGGATCCGAGAACTCCGTGAGGGCCTCCGAGTTTTCCCCTGACGAGGGGGGGGGGACGGGACGAAACGGAGGAGGAAGGACGTGCCCGGGAGATGCAGGAGTGAGCAGGGGAAGATAGGGCGGGAGCGGCGACGGCGGCGACAACGGGGCGAGAACAGGCGGGGTCCACGGACGGCCAGCTTCCCGACTATCACTTGCTTGGGTCTCCGTCGGAACGCTTCGGGATGATCCGGGCACCCCCAGGACGCTCGCGGCGAGCCCGAACGCATCCCGAGGCTGGAAGACCCTGGGATCCAAACCCCGCGAACAAAATGCAACGGCGCGAGAAATCGCGACCGGACCCCCAGGCCCCATCTTGCTGCGGCACTTGTCGAGCCGGAGCGACTTGTGTGATGGCCTCGGGGCCCGGAACCGGGTAAAAACGCCCTGTGTGAAGAACAGTCGGCGTCCGAATCTCAGGGGAGTCTCATGGAACCGACGAGAGCGCCCGAGATACGAGGCTTGAAAATAGGCACCAACACAAACACCAGGGTCACTAGGGCCTGCCTCAACTGGGAGAAGCTGATCCTAGATCTTGGTGCTGGCGGTAGCACTTCGGCCACCCAAGGAGCCTGCATATCACCACCATCGCCGAGATCGGGATCGTCTTCTCTCGGTGGAGGCACACTCCTGATGTAGATGTTGGCGGCAACCTCTAGGCCTCCGACGACAGCCTCCGAAGGACGGGACCGAGGCCCACCTCGGCTACACGCAAAAGTGACCCTGGGCAAGAATGACCTTTGGTGCGCGGCTTTTGGGGGGGCCGCGGGGGGGCCAAATCTGGGCGCGCAACCAGCTGCTACTGGCTACTGCTTCGTTTTCGGCCATCTGGGGGCCCATCCGTGCCCGCACCACAGGTCACTCCCGCGAAAGGTCACTCTTACGCCCAGTCGACCACCGCCCGTCACTGCGGCTCCGGGCGCCTCCGCCACCGGGCACGTCGGCGCCGCCGCGAACACCTGCGCGGGCACCTCGCGCGCCCGCGCGCGGGGCCGAGAGAGAGGCTCGGGCCGGCGAGAGGCGTGCCAGGACCTCGTGCGGCAGGTTCGCCTCGTGGCACACGGCAGGTTCGTGTCGTGCCGACCTCGGCATTGGTTTTTCTGACGCCGCGGGAATCTCGTTCCATCTTGAACGATCGGCCGTTCCCGAATCGTCAGATCGTTCAACATCGTCCAATTCTGGGTCGCCGCCGGCGTTCGACGTTGAACGCCGGCGACGGTGTCGCCGCCGGTCGACACCGCGCGAACCTACCGTACGCCTCGTCGATCGGAGGTTGGGGGGTGAGATCGCAGTGGAACGGAGACCCCCCACCTGGAAATCGTTTCGTTTCGTTCATGTCCGATGTGCGGGCGAGGCGAAGCTGCGTGGGCGCGCGAGAGGAATGAACCCGCCGTTGCTAGGGCGAAGTCAAGCCAAATGATTCTCACCCGCCCGCCCGTCCAGCGGTGGCTCGCGGTGTCCCGCGGTGTCCCGTGGTGTCCCACCGTTGCTAAGCTGCTAGGGCGAGGTCAAAAAGAATGATTCTCCCCCGCCCGCCCGCCCGTCCGTCCGTCCGGCTATGCCCCGTGGTGTCCCGCGATGTCCCGTGGTGTCCAGTTGAGTGAGATCGATAGTAAGATCGATAGTGAGATCGACAGGTGTCCGGTGGTGTCCCGTTGAGTGAGATCGATAGTGAGATCGACAGGTGTCCCATGGTGTCCGGTGGTGTCCCGTTGAGAGTGGGATCGATAGTGATATCGATCGTGAGATCGATAGTGAGATCGATAATGAGATCTACAGGTGTCCCGTGGTGTCCCGTTGACAGTGAGATCGATAGTGATATGATCGTGATATCGATAGTGAGATCGACAGGGGTCCCGTAGTGTCCCGTGGTGTCCCGTTGAGTGAGATTGATCGTGAGATCGATCGTGCGATCGATAGTGAGATCGATCGTGAGATCGATCGTGAGATCAGCGAGATCAACAGTGCGATCGATAGTGCGATCGATAGTGAGATCGATGGAGTCAGACGTTTGTTCCCCCCCACACAACCTCCTTATCACCCGAAGGGTGGTCGCATGGGTAGATAGCTGCGTTTTGTGATGCGGGCTGCTTCGTAGGCACAATCACCGATCAACTGGGCGAGGCACGGCAAATAAAAAAGGGGGCACGAAGGGGGGACAACCATCAGGGCAGCGCGACAAGGATCAGAAGGGTGCGCGGAAGGCCACTGGACGCTCCAGGTGCAGCCGAGGTTCGAAGCCCCTGGCCCATGGCCGAGTGCCAGGACGGGCCGAGGCGCGGGGACGCCAGGGTGCCCTTGGAAAGTGACGGCAGCTTCGTGTCGGGACAACCTCTCTGACTACCTAACAGACCACCCCAACCCAAGCCGAAGACCCGAATTTCGGGTTGTGGGGGTGCAGGCCTCATATGCGTTTTTCCCATGTTCCCCGACCCCCCCCCGTTGGAAACGGAGGGCAAATCGGGGCCTTCGGCTTGGGCTGGGGTGGTTTGGTGGGCGGTGAACCCCGGCGTTGATTCCTGACGCCACGCGGACCGTGCCACCTGGAAAGATTCGGGTGCTGCCAGAAATACCCCTGGCCCAGGGTGCCCCCGGCTTTCCGCTTCACTTTGGAGCCCCTGGGGACCTCTGGGCCTCGTGAGGAGGAGGAGGAGGAGGAGGAGGAGGAGGAGGAGGAGGAGGAGGAGGAGGAGGAGGGAGGAGGGAGGAGGGAGGAGGGAGGAGGGAGGAGGGAGGAGGAGGAGGATCCCCCGAGAATCCTGGGGGCACCTTGGCCCAGAGGCACTTCCAGCAAGCAATACCCGAGCGATCGGCGGCCTCTCGACCGCCAGACCGTTCCGTGCTGGCCGATGCTGGGCCGCTGGCGGCGCTCGCCCTGGCACGCCCGCGGCTGCGTCGCTGCCGAGTCGGCTCCTGGCCATCGCTCGGACTCCGACGTCCATTCCCTGTATTTTGTTTCGGTCTCGTGCGTGGCTTTTTCGCCAAATGATCAGGGGCGCTCCTCGATGGTCCTCGCCGGAGGAAACATGCACACGTCCGAGCGATGCCAAGGGAACGCCCGCGGCTGCGTCGCTGCCGAGTCGGCTCGGCACGAGCCCTTCTGTAGAGGCGGTTGCTGCGGGCACGGCCCAGCAGACCTCCAGGACGGCCCGAAGCGCCGGAGGAGGGCCAGGAGACGGCCCAGAGAGGTCTCCCAAGACGGCCCCCGAACGCGTCAGATGGGCCAAGAGAGCCCTTAGACGGCCCAGGAGGCCCCGATCCAGCCCAGGATGGCTCCAAGAGATCCTCCAGGAGGGCCAAAGAAGCCAACATCACTGATATACCACAACTTCGTCTTTCGCGTCCCCGCCTTTCTGGGCTTCTGACAGCCTAAGACAGCTCCAGAGCGGCCCAAGAGGCCCCTAAAACAGCCCAAGGGACCTCTGTGACGGCCAGGAAGCGCCACGAGGGGATCCCAAGACGGCCTCCGAAGGCGCCAGACGGGCCAAGGGGGCCATAAGACAGCCCCATGGGCCCCGAAGAGTCCCCAAGTGGACCAACAGAAACCCTTCAGGAGGCCAACGAGAAGCCCCTCAGCGGGCCCTCGAAGTCGAGGGAGCCAGGTCGAGCCCACGACCCGTTCGAGATCAGACCGTGCGCTGAATTGCAGGGGGGCTTTTCAAGGCACCTCCTTCACGCTGCGTTACTGCGCTGGCGCATTGGGGTTTGCCGCAGACTCAGCTGGACATTGTTGGCGGTTCTAGTGGCCGAGAACCTGGCGCATTGTTGGCCGCAGTAACCGCCCAACAAGTGACGCACTCACGCAACTACTCCAACAGAGACGAGACACACCGACCCACGAGACAACTACACGGAGCAGGCTCAACAAACACGTCCGCAAAGAAATCCGTGCTATCAAACGGGCAGTCCGCAGGGCTACAATCGAACGCATCCTATCGGAATACAAAGGCCTTGAAGCGTATCAGCGGAGTCGAATCCACCAAACAACGAACATTCTTCACGAGCATGGCGGACAACGCCGGGGAGACGCAGCACGACCGACAGACCATAGCCGACGTATTCGCAGCATCTTACGAAGACTTGTACACCGACACCGGCCGCAGAGACAACGCCAACGGCGAACGCCCCGAGCACGACGCGCAACGGGACGACATCCCACCATTCACAGGGAACGAACTGGAAGCAGCGTTGCGCCAGCTGCGAACTAACAGAGCTGCTGACGCCTCTGGAATAACAGCCGAGATGTTGAAATCTGGAGGGGATGCATTACAGTCTGTCCTCCTCGACATGTACAACAATATCCTCCTACCTGGCTCGCCGACGCCGGCAAGTTGGCGGCATACAGTAATCAAAGTGCTTCACAAAAGCGGAGACCCACAGCAACCCAATAATTACAGACCAATTGCTAGCATACCCATGCTGTACAAACTCTTTTCGCGGCTTCTGAACAACCGGCTGCATCCGCTCTTAGAGAGCAGCCAAAGCGCCGACCAAGCTGGCTTCCGACCCCACCGTAGCACCACCGACCATTTGTTCACGACGTCCATACTGCAAGAAATCGCGGACGAATGGCAACTCCCCATGTGGTCGGCCGCAGTAGACTTCAAGAAGGCATTCGACAGCATCACGCACGCCAGCATATGGGAGTCGCTTGCAGAGCAGCATACACCCGCACCGTACATCCACTTGCTTTCAAAGCTTTACCAGGACCCGACGGGATCAGTCCAGACAGACCGCACAAGCAGGAAATTCAACGTCCTGCGGGGAACAAAGCAAGGCGACCCCCTAAGTTCACTGCTCTTCAACAGCGTGTCCGAGAGCATCATGAGACGAGCCAAACAAAAATGGGCATCAAAGGATTACGGCTTCAAGCTCCAACTACACACGAATGACCGACTCACCATCCTTCACTTCGCGGATGACATCCTCCTACTTACGGGGTCACTGAACCACCTGACACATATGCTAACCGACCTCATCACTGAAGCAGGCAAAACGGGCCTAGAACTTCATCCTGATAAAAAGAAGATCATGCACAACGGGCACAAGTCACGACGCAGCACCCGTACACCCGACAGCGTACATGTGCTCGGCATGAAGATTGATGTATTGCCACCATACCGCAGCACGAAATACCTCGGACGGCTGCTACAGCACACTACGCCTCACGCGACGGAAATCGAAAACCGCATTTCCACAGCATGGCGAAAGTTTCACATGTTGAAGCAAGAACTTACTGGACCAACGTACTCACAGTCAGACCGACTTCGCCTCTTTCACGGAACCATCACACCGACTATCTTGTACGGCAGCGAAGCTTGGACGCTCACGGCCGACTTAGCGAACCGACTCCGGCGAACGCAGCGACAAATGCTTCGCATGATTGTACGAGTACCACGGCGCACCTCCGCAAACTCCTCTCCCCAAGCATCACAGCAAGCACTCGAGCATCTGACCAACGACCAGCACGACACCGCCTACCAGAACTCCGACGAAGAGGACGACCACGGCATGTGACGTCGACAGTAACCCGCCGGATCCCACGCCTGATATTCATGATGATGACGATGAAGCGAACGCTGTTGTTTTGGAGCCATGGGTCGATTGGATCAAGCGGGCCACACACAAGGCTGAAACAGCAATCGCAAAATTAAGAATCGACGATTGGGTCTCGACAGTACGGCAGAGGAAATGGCAGTGGGTACGGAAGTTGAGTGCAACGGAGGAACTGGAATGGATGCGACAAGTCTTTCAATGGACTCCACAACATGATCCAGTATATAATGCCAGACGCAGGACGGGAAGACCAAAAACCAGATGGATCGATGACGTCAGAAATCATGTCGAAGATACGTTGGAATGTGGCAACATGAGTATTTCAGCGATTCTTGATCTTGCATCAAATGATTCTTGGCAGGGTATTGGAGCACAGGTTACGCAACACCACATGTGAATTTCTGACCGGGCCTCGTTTTCTTCGTCGTCGTCCTCCTCCTCCTCCTCCGCTGCTTTTTTCCTTTGCCGTAATGGCCGGCGCTCCGGCGCCACACCCGCAGCACCCTAGTTTGGTGCCAATGCGCGGGCTGTCCTGTCCTGTCCTGTCCTCCTTCACGCTGCGTTACTGCGCTGGCGCATTGGGGTTTGCCGCAGCTCAGCTGGACATTGTTGGCGGTTCTGGTGGCCGAGAAGCTGCGCATCGTACAGTCGGGGTGGACTGGAGAGGACACGCGAGAGGACACGTGAGCCTTCCGATGGCCACACTGCCAGGGGAGCATAGAGGGCGTGGGGCGCGAAACACAGGACACGAGGGTACCCTTGTTTGGGCAGGGTCGACCTACTACTCAAACTCGACCGTATCATGAAGGAGACACACAAATAAATACACACAAACAGAAGGATTCCCCCATATTTTCCCGTACTTTCTCGGTTTCTGTCTTCCCCCCCCTTCCCACATGTTCCCATATATTTTCTTGGAAATCGACGATTCATTGTGTGTGTCTGTGTGTTTGTTTCCCTCCTGCATCCTTCTCGACAGCGCCGCTTGGGAGACGCCCGGCGCGGCACGGCGCACGCGCGTCGTCCGCGGCCTTTCGACAAACGCATCGTGGACCTTGCTGCACGGCCAAGCGCGTGCGCCGGAGAGGCCCGCCCACCGGAGGGCACCAACCATCAAATTACCAGCCTCGAACGTATCCCTGTCCCTAAGACTGGCACGCCAAAAGGCGACGACAATCTTAGGTTTTCGCCCTCAAAAGATAAGGGAGTCCCTCAGGTTGGCATCGTGATGAGGAGGTGCCCAGCATAGGGATAGGGACATGTTCTAGGCTGGTAATCAAAACACTTGGTCCGTCGCCGCAGACCGCCCAAGACGTCCCTGAGAAGGGCCCCCCTCTAAGATTCTCCCATGGCCCGCCCGGGGTGGAAAAACATGGAGGTCATGAGCTGCGTGTGGAGATGTTGGGTCTGCGTGTTGCCTCGTCGAAGCCCTGTGCAGAGGACTCCAGGATGGACACACCGAGGCGCCTCGGAGACCCCAGAGAGCCCCGCTAGCTGTCAAGAAGGACCTCCGCTGAGGCCCAACATGGAGACGGAGAACTCACCAGAGGCCTTAGAGGTTCTAGGTGATAAGATGGCCCCAGCGATCCCTAATTAAGAGAACCCCAGAGGGCTCGGAAAGGGCCCAAAGAGATGGGAACTCAACACATACCAAAAGAGGGACTCTCCCACGCCACCGCAGCGCCGCCTGGGCACCCTGTGCATCACCCTCGCGCCGTGCCGGCAGAGGAGTGCGCGGAGTGTGCGGGTTCTCAGAACACTGACGCGAGCCGACCTCATCGCGAACGTACCACCTCCCTCCCTCCGCCGGCGCAGCCGCACGTCCATGGGGCCTGGCTGGCACAGACGAAGGAGTCCAATCCTCCTTTCGGCGCGCCCGACACGGAGACGGCACGAGTGGGGGCGAGGCCCGGCAGCGAGCGTTGTCCATACCCCTGCTTTGGACGCCCGAAATCGGTACCGAAAAAATGGGTACAATGCCCAACAGCAAATGTTGTCCCAAACCAACAGCGGCCGCTGTTGGGCAGGCGGCCCTCTGTCTCGAATGGACAAAGGCCGCGGCGGCGTGGACAGCGAGACCTGTTCAAAATGAACAAGATCCGCTGTTGGGCATTGTACCCATTCTTTCAGTGCCCATTTCGTTCGCGCGGACCTGCGGGGGGGGCCCCAGTCGACGACGCGGACGACGCCTTCGGCTCCACGTCGGGACGGATCCCAGGGCCCACAGGCCCCCATGCCCTGCGTCTGCACATCAAAAATGCCACGGAGCCGCTGCCGCGGCACGGGTGCGTTCCTTGGACTCGCCATCGCTCGGGAGTCCATTCCCCGTGCTCTGTTCGACTTCGAACGTGTGCTCGTTGCCCGATGATCCAGGATGCTCCTCGAAGGTCCTCGCCGAGAAAAGTGCACACGTCCGAGCGATGCCAAGTCATTGGCCGATACAAGTACCTCAATCCCCGAGACGTCCATAAGTGCACACGATCCCCGAGACGTCCATAATAAGAGGGTCCAAACGTACCTCCACCTTTAAAGTGTAAGCCGATACAACGTTTAACAGAAACAATGGTCGAGAAAAGAGTGGTCGCGCACGAGTGGCGCACAGGACGACTTGTGCAGAGAAGTGCTTGCCCAACAGATGTGAGAGTGCGAGTCCGCCAATGTGGCCAAGAACTCGCACAAGGGAGAGCCAACACTAGATCGCGCAAGCCACCCCCCACAAGACCTCGCACAAGATCTCCAGGACAACACTCTCTGAACAAATCTACGTCTCCTCCTCCTCGGCGCGGTGTCCTGCCGCCTCCCCGCGCGCCCACCCCGTGGCGCGACGGCCAGGTCGCGCCCCTCAGCCCAGCGAGCGGCCATAGGGGGCGGAGCGGCACCCCGTACGCAGAGGTGACGGCCACGGCCTGGGCCACCTCCGCAGGGGGGACGTGCAGGGGGGGGGGATGGCAGGCATCAGGGGCGCAGGAGACGGCGGGGGGCGAGGCCAAGCGGAGGCAGCAGGGAGGTGGGGGGGGGGGGGCGGCGGCGTGGGGGACGGGGCGAGAGCACGAACGGGGGAGGGCAGAGGGGGGAGGAGCCGAGGAGTTGGGGGACTAAGATGAGGGGGGAGGCCTGAGAGGCGCCCCCATCGGGCAATTCCCACGCGCGCTTACCAAAAGCGTGATCGTCCGCCTTACCCCCCCTGGGTGGGGATGGATGTCGTCTCCGTCGGGTTTCGCGGCTGCTCTTTGCTTACATCGACGGGGTGGGCTGGTGGAGCCAAGGGCCCCAGCCCACCCCAGGGAACAAACACGTACCAATGCTGTTACTCTCCCGACATCACCAGGGGTGCGTTCCGACCACGGGATTGGTTCTACCAATCTTTCAACCGGGGTGTGAGCTGACAAGCGTGTGCGTGCTCGCAGCCACACCGCTGACCATCAGCAGCGCGGCCAGCGAACGGGATGCCACCTGGCCTGCCACCAGCCACGATATCCATCCCTGGCCTCTCCTGTGGTTCAGCCTCGCCCTGCAAATGCAAAATGCGGCCGCAACATCGGTGCATACTCGGATCCTGACAAACAAGGAACCTTCGAGATATAAGACAGAAAGTAACCCATACACGTCAACTGTCGGCGCTCCGCGCGGGTTGCTTGGTTCTGCGCTTGATCCCCGTACCTGGCGCGCGGAGCGCGCCAGGGGCGGCGCCGGACGCGCCGCCGGTGGGGGGGGCAGCGCGGATCCAAGAACTCCGCGCGGAGCGCCAAAAGCTTATGTTTATGGCGTGTGTTTCTGATCCCCATTATTATTATTCGTCTTCTTCTCCTTCTTTTCTCTTCTTCGATGTACATACTGGGATCCTGGCACACAACGGATCTTCGAGACATGGCAGTTTTGATGGGACGCGTCGGGAGACGCAGCCTCCCCAGAGCGACCTGGAGCGCTCCGAGATCGTCCTCGACCGCTCAGGCCCGATCCTTCATCCCGAGCCTGGGCCTGCCTCGCTGGTGCTCCCTCACCTCCTCCTCCTCCACCTGCCTCCACCTCCTCGTCCTCCTCCTCCTCCTCGCTCCTCCTCGCTCCTCCTGGCTCCTCCTGGCTCCTCCTCGCTCATCCCCGCTCCTCCTCCTCCTCCCTTTCCTCCTCCCTCCTCCTCCTCCTCCTCCTCCTCCTCCTCCTCCTCCTCCTCCTCCTCCTCCTCCTCCTCCTTTCATCCTCCTCCTCCTCCTCGCTCCTCATGCTCCCCCTCCTCCTCCTCATCCTCCCTTGCCTCCTCCTCCTCCTCCGCCTCCTCCTCCTCCCTCCTCCTCCTCCTCCTCCTCCTCCTCCTCCTCCCCTCCTCCTCCTCCCTCCTCCTCCCTCCTCCTCCTCCTCCTCCTCCTCCTCCTCCTCCTCCTCCTCCTCCTCCTCCTCCTCCTCCCCTCATCCTCCTCCTCCTCCTGGCTCCTCATCCTCCCCCTCCTCCTCCTCATCCTCCCTTGCCTCCTCCTCCTCCTCCTCCTCCTCCTCCTCTCCTCCTCCTCCTCCTCCTCCCCCTCCTCCTCCTCCTCCTCCTCCTCTTCCTCCTCCTCCTCCTCCTCCTCCTCCTCCTCCTCCTCCTCCTCCTCCTCCTCCTCCTCCTCCTCCCCCTCTTCCTGCTTCCTCCTCCTCCTGCTTCCTCCTCCTCCTTCTCCTCCTCGCTCCTCCTCCTTCTCCTCCTTCTCCTCCTCGCTCCTCGCTCCTCGCTCCTCGCTCCTCGCTCCTCCTCCCTCCTCCTCCTCCTCCTCCTCCTCCTCCTCCTCCTTCTCCCCCTCCTCCTTCTTCCTCCTCCTCCTGCTTCCTCCTCCTCCTCATCCTCCTCGCTCCTCGCTCCTCCTCCTCCTCCTCCTCCCTTTCTCCACCTCCTCCTCCTCCTCCTTCTCCTCCTCGCTCCTCGCTCCTCGCTCCTCGCTCCTCCCTCCTCGCTCCTCGCTCCTCGCTCCTCGCTCCTCCTCCTCCTCCTCGTCCTCCTCCTCGTCCTCCTCCTCCTGCCAATGCTCCTGCTCACGCCCCGACCCAACGAGGGGCCACAGCGGCGGCAGGGGTAAAGCTCTGGCCTCGGGAGCCATACTGTATTCCCGAGGCCATCTTGGAGGCCCCTTGGGCGCGGTGGGGGCGATCTTGGGGGCCTCTTGGGCCGTCTTGGGTCGTCGGAAAGCCGAGAAGGAGCAAATACGAACATCCTTCAAAAACCGGAGGAACATCACTGATTTTGGCCTCTTCGGGCCCTTCTGGAGGACCTCTCGGAGGGCTCCAAGGCCGTCTTGGAGGCCTCTTGGGCACCTCTTGGGCCGTCTTGGAGGTTTCTTGGGCGGACTTGGAGGCATGTCCTCCTCTCTTGGGCGGACTTGGAGGCCATCTTGGGCCATCTTGGAGGCCATCTTGGGCAATCTTGGCCGTCTTGGATGGCCGTCTTGGCCGTCTTGGAGGCCTTTTGGGGCCCTCTTGGGGCCGTCTTGGGGACCTCTTGGGCCGTCATGGGGCCATCTTGGAGACCTCGTGGGCGATCTTGGGGCGATCTTGGGGGCCTCTTGGGCCGTCGGAATTCCGAGAAGAAGCAAATCCCTAAATCCTTCAAAAACCTATGGGAAATCAATGATGTTGTCCTCTTCGGGCCTTCCTGGAGGACCTCTTGGAGGCCTCTTGGGGGTCTCTTCAGGGCCTCTTGGGCCGTCGTGGGCCAGCTTGAGGCCATCGAGAGGGTCTAGCACGCCAGGCACCCCTGTGATGAACGGCGCGCGGTTGGACCGCGACTCTCGCGAACGAAAAAGACCTCGCCAGCTGCTGCCGCTACCGGCACCGTTGCCGCCGCCGCCGCCGGCTCCCCTCGGGCGACGGCGCTGGTTGGCGTCGCCGCAGCTGGTGCGCTGCGGCACCGCCCTTGCGTGCGAGGCCGCAGGGAAACCGCCGTGAGAACGAGGGAAGTGTATCGGTACATTGTCTCCCTTCTTTTGGACACCCGAAATGGGTACCTAAAGAATGGGTACAATGCCCAACAGAAAAGGTTGTCCCAAACCAACAGCGGCCGCTGTTGGGCAGGCGGCCTTCTGTCTCGAATGGACACAGGCCGCGGCGGCGTGGACAGCGAATCCTGTTCAGAATGAACAAGAACTGCTGCTGTTAGGCATCGTACCCATTCTTTCCGTGCCCATCTCGGGCGTCCAGACTTCTGCTCATCACCGCCCAAAGATGTGCCCCCCCGGCGATGGCGCTCCACGCAGCAGCCGACCGAGCCAGACGACTCGGGGACGCACGGACCCGGGTCAGCACAACCCCGGGTCGGCTAGTGAGCATCGTTACCCGATCCCCATCCCCAACGGCGTGGCCTGGGCCCCACTTGCCGCTTTACACCTCTAGATGGGGATATAGGCCGTTCCCTTCGGGTTTCGAGGGGTGTATCCCCAAATGGGGTGGTAATTTGGTGGGGGTCTGGAAGGGGATGGGCGTCGTTGAAACGATACTGAGCTGGGGCCCCGTCGCGAAGCCTGGCCCGCCGCTTGGGGGCTCCCAAACCGGGGTCAGCGGAGGGCGGACAGGGAGAATCGGCCCCACGGGGCTCCCACGTGCCCCGGCCAGCCAAAGGGGAGCAACGCCGCCCCCGGTCACGTGAGCAGGGACCGACCGTCCCGGCATTTCTGTACTCCTACCACGAAATGTTCTTAGAACCCAAACATTTTCTAAGAACCCAAACCATGTTCTTAGAACATGAGCCCCATGTGTTCACAAGACAATATCCGCCAGAAATGTTCTAAGAACATTTCGTGGAAACCACAAAAGGTTATTGGGGCATTGTGTGGTAGGGCTATAGGCGAGCCAAGACGCTTCGCCACTGCTTGACCGGTTACGTGAACACCGGACGGCGACCGCGTGCAGCTGGCCGGCTGCGAGACGCGGTCGGCCGAGCCGAGTCGCGGGCAACCTCGTCTGCCAACCACGCCGCAGGCCACGACACGCGGAGCTCGACCTCCTTTCCGGTCCCGCCTGTCCAGAAACACATCTTCACGAACGCGGCCGCGGGGACGGAGGTGGGTCATCATGCGGAATGCTTCCGCAGAGCTCGGCCCCTTTGCCAACGAGGGAAGGACGAACTGCGTAAACATAAACTTCCGACGATCCGTGCGCATTTCTTGGATGCTCCCTGGACCCCACTGGCGACGCCTCCTGCGGCGCCCTTGATTCCAAGAAGGCAATGCCCCTGTCCTCAAAGCAGGCACTCGTCTTCCCTGAAGGCTGCCCCCTCGCGCCAAACCCGCTCCGGGAAATCCACGCGCGCCGTCGGATGGGGGTGGCGGAGGGAAGGAGGAACGCTGTGGGCTCTGTGGACTCTCGGATGTCCTTTGGGCGTCGGAGCACGAAGAGGAGGAGGATACACCGCGACCAATCCTAATACATGTATTAAAAAATATAATTCCAAAAAGACGCACAAATACATGCTTACATTTATACATGCATATACATATGTGTATATACATATGTCAGACCGAGGAGGCCGAACGCTCATTCATAGCCCCAGGTGCGTAGCTGAAGTGGAGGCCCGTGGTGAGGATGCTACCTGTTGCGTTGAATTCCCACTACGGAAGAATAAGTATTGTTGATCCTCCCCTCGGGTGCACATTGTATTTGTCAATTGAAGCACCCCTCCTTGCGCTCGCACCTTGTCATATGTTTATACTTATACTTATATATATATATAAATAAACACACAGGGAATCACTTCGTCGTCAAACTGTGTTGTTGGCCCCCGGGTTACAACAACACCGGTTCCCACCTGAGCTTTCCCCACCACTTCGCCAGGACCCCTGCTCCCGCCCGAGACTTCCTCGCATCTATTCAGGAATAGCGCTTTCGCGTGGGACTTCCTTACAATTGGTTCAGAAATCGCTCTCTCGGCGCTGTGAAGTCGCGCTCTCGCTGG